AGAAGAAAAAGGAAGTTCTCCACTCTTGCAGGAAGAGGTGGAGCCAAACAGTACTGATTGTCAGCTACAAGCAACCAATCCATACAACTATACATAAACAGGGTAAAAGGGGCAGGATTAAGCATGATACAACAGTTTAAATCTTGCAACTAACAGTTCTATACATAGGTGGCGCCACTCACGCCGTCACAGTGGTGGGGTACAAATAAAGATTATTACTTCTTCTTCTTCTTCATCATCATCATCATCATCATCATCATTATTATTAGTCAAAGTTGACTTGAAAAGAGTTAACAACAACAAACTGCTAATATTAAACATTCATATCAATATATGATAATGGCAGCAAAACTGGGTGTATAGTAGGGATGTGCATTTTTTCATTAGTTGTCGTAAGTTGTATCAGATTTGTTAAATTTGTACTTATGAGGCAATATCTGACACGTAGGCATGTCCCATGTCAAAAACTTAAGAATCAAAACCTACCCAATACCTTTTTGTTTGAATTTTGTAAATCTTGGAAACCTCCCAAATCAGTTTCATTTTCAATGCAAGGAAACAAAGCAAAGCCAAAAAGTGAATGCTCTTTAAATTAGTGGCATCTTGTCATTAGGAGAAGGAAGCAACAGGGAGAAAGCACAGTTCAGTGGAAAAGAGACTGAGAAAGCACAGAATTCTGGGAAATATAGTTTGGGAAGGCAGGGAGCCCTATGCAGGGGTGGCTCAACCCATTACGCAAAGTAAGCATTTGCAGTAAAGTTGATTTTGCTTAGGGGCGCTCTTGAGGTGCTCTTGGGGGAAAATAGACCTTGACATATGCGAGTTGTAGTTACTGGGATGTATAGTTCACCTACAATCAAAGAGCATTCTGAACTCCACCAATGATGGAATTGAACCAAATGTGGCACACAGAACTCCCACGACAAACAGAAAAATATATTAGGGGGGGGGGGCAAAATACTGTTTGCTTACTGTTGAAAATTACCTAGGGCTGCCTCTGGCCCTATGCTAGAGAATTTAAATGGCCCTGCCCTAAACTACATTTCCCAGAATTCTGCTCAGTATCAGAAAGCTCTAATAAGGATAGAGGAGAGATTTCTCCCTCTGTAGCAGCAACCAACCAGAGTTCCAATAAATTGTTGAATCTGCAAAGAGGAGGACTGACTGATACTTCTAGTGAGTAAATCTCTGTGCTGGGCTGGGAAAAAAATCCCTAAATGGAAGTTTTCTTGGTTAATATGAGAGACATTCAATGAGATAGCTGCTGTAGCATTTTAAAATGTTTTTGTCACAAGTTCGCTAAAGTCAGTAGATGTGTGAATATTTCTGATTTTTTTGGGGGGGAGGGGGGAATGATCCCCTGTTATTGTGTCTCATTGTATAGAAAATTCAAAGAGGTAGCTCTTGTAGTCTTTTTAAAAAAAGTTGTTTATAAAAAATTTGAAAATTCCCCTAAAATCTGTGGATAAGTGAAACATTCTGAAACTTGATGGGCTAAAAATGGTAATTGTGTTCTACCATTGTAGCAAGTTTCACCCCAATAACTGTAAAGATGAGGGAGAAAGGAGCCCTTGAAGTTTCCCCATTTGTGCAATTACTATAACAAAAAATATAAAAAATGTTACTCTTATTATAGTAATTAATTTTATTACTTTAGGAACACTTTAGGAACAAAATGACAGTGCCTCCTAATTTTGTAATAAGTTTTGAAACATTTTTTCATTGATTGCACAACCCTTGTGTATAGTCAGAATAATATATTAGTACTTAGAGTCAAATTTGGTCAAGAATTGTGTTGTTAAATCTTGCTCCAGCTATAGTATCTATTTTGTGTGGGCCATGTGTCCCCTGTAATGCTATGCCCAGTTCTGGGTCCAACCATTCTAGAATGATATTGGCAAGCTGGAACATGCCTAGAGAAGGGCAACCAAAATGGTCAAATGTCTGAAAACCATGAATCCTTATGAGGAATGACTTGGGGAGCTGGATATGTTTAATCTGAAGGAGAAAAGATTCAAAGGTGGCATGATAGCCATGTCTAAATATTTGAAAGGGTGTCACATTAGGGAAGGAGTAAGCTTGTTTTCTGCTGCTCTGGAGACTAGGACATGGAGCAATGGGTTCAAATTTAAGGAAAAGAGATTCCATCTAAACATTAGGAAGAACTGCTTGATCGTTATTACTGTTTGACAGTGGAATATAACAACAAGTTAAACATGAGCCAACAATGTGATGTGGTGGCAAAAAAAAGCCAATGGGATTTTGGCCTGCATCAATAGGAGCATAGTGTCTAGATCTAGGGAAGTAATGCTACCCATGCTCTATTCTGCCTTGGTTAGACCACACCTGGAATATTGTGTCCAATTTTGGGCACCACAACTCAAGGGAGATATTGACAAGCTGGAATGTGTCCAGAGAAGGGCGACTAAAATGATAAAGGGTCTGGAGAACAAGCCCTATGAGGAGCGGCTTAAGGAGCTGTGCATGTTTAGCCTGAAGAAGAGAAGGCTGAGAGGAGATATGATAGCCATGTATAAATATGTGAGAGGAAGCCACAGAGAGGAGGGAGCAAGCTTGTTTTCTGCTGCCCTGGAGACTAGGACACGGAACAATGGCTTCAAACTACAAGAGAAAAGATTCCATCTGAACATGAGGAAGAACTTCCTGACTGTGAGAGCTGTTCAGCAGTGGAACTCTCTGCCCCGGAGTGTGGTGGAGGCTCCTTCTTTGGAAGCTTTTAAACAGAGGCTGGATGGCCATCTGTCAGGGGTGATTTGAATGCAATATTCCTGCTTCTTGGCAGGGGGTTGGACTGGATGGCCCATGAGGTCTCTTCCAACTCTTTGATTCTATGATCTATGATTCTATGAATAGACTGCCTTGGAGTATGGAGACTCTATCACCATCTGTTAGGAGAGGTTTCATTGGGCATTCCTTCATGGCAGAAGAGGGTGGACTGGATGGCCCTTGTGTTTTCTTAAAATTCTGTGACTCTATGATTCTGAGTCATCTTTTAGGACAACACCACATATGGTGCATTCCTAAAGCATGGGATATTGAATCAGATCTGGTGCCAAAATCCACGTGATCTTCAAATGTAAGAGGTAAAACTAGCAGTTCTCCCAAATTATGCAGCAGCTCCTTCAGCAGGGGCATAACACTGGGTTTCTTACCCATTATTAGACTTGGGAACCACCAATGCACAGAATCCCATCAGGACTTGGCTTCAGTTTACTGGTCTCATCCGTTTTGCCTTATTCTAGGTGATCACATTTTCTGTACAGAATTTTTTTATTTCCCCTGGGCACAGAACAATTCTCAAACAGAATATTAACAGTTTGGGACTAATTGTGTAAAAAGTTTGCATGTAACTGTTTTGCACCAAAAAGAAAAAGAAAAAGAAAAAAAGAAAAAAGAAAGAAAGAAAGAAAGAAAGAAAGAAAAAAGAAAAAGAAAAGATCGGAAAAAAGAGAGCACATTTTGCTCCAGAATGTTGCAAAGGAGAAAAGTAAATTTCTGCACAGGAAATGTGTTTTCTCTGCAGAAAATGTTTTCAATGGAAATGATACTACAAATGAACCCTGAATAAAATTTTCTGCATAGAATTTATTTATTATTTATTTACAACATTTCTACCCCTTCCTTCTCAATCCCTGAGGGGGGACTCAGAGCAGCTAACAATTCGATGCCACAAATATCACAATATAACAAGAATATAAAAACATAAATACACAATAGAATTAAAAACAATAATTTATTTATTTATTTATTTAGAGCTTTTATAACCCAGTCTTCTCGACCTCCAAAGAGGGACTCAAGCCGGTTCAAAACAGAAGATTCATAGACAATAGTATAAAAACATCACAACCTCATAATACACTAATCCATAAAATACATTAAAATACAATCATATAATTACATAAGGCCAGGTCGTCAGAGTGAAATCACAATTCATCGCTATCCGTCAGTGTGGTCAAGAGTTATTGACTCAATCATCAAATGCCATATTCCGAAGCCAAGATTTCATCAGCTTTCTAAAAGTCAGGAGAGAAGGGGCAGATCTAATCTCCAGCGGGAGAGAGTTCCACAGCCGAGGGGCCACCACCGAGAAGGCCCTGTCCCTCGTCCCCACCAGACGCGATTGCGAGGGTGGTGGGACAGAGAGCAGGGCCCCTCCAGAAGATCTTAACAACCTTGATGGTTCATAGGGGAGAATTCGTTCGGACAGGTAAACTGGGCTGGAGTCATTTAGGTATTTATAGGTCAACACTACCACTTTGAATTGTGCTTGGAAGCTTATTGGCAGCCAGTGGTGCTGGCGCAACAGAGAAGTAGTATGCTCCCTGTACCCCGCTCCTGTTAGTAATCTGGCTGCCGCTCATTGGACTAATTGAAGCTTCCGGGCAGTGTTCAGAGGCAACCCCACGTTGAGAGCATTGCAGTAGTCTTTACGGGATGTAACCAGAGCGTGGACCACTGTGGCCAAGTCAGACTTCCCAAGGTACGGTTAATTGGTTAACAGCTGAGCCTCCTGATACTGGAATCCAAATTCTTGTCAAAGCCAAGTCTCTATATAGCTGTAATCAATTTGGGCTTGCTTTGCTCCAAATAATAACTGTAGTGTGCATTATTTGGAGGAAGAGCAGAATGGATCAGCCTGGCCTCCCACGGCTTGGACTGTATCCACCTCAGTTTTACATGCAACTTCATGTGATGTCTCATTATAATATTAACTTTCAGAGTAGCAGTTCAAGAAAGCAAGATGTAAGTTTAATGTCATGACAGGGTAATGTTTATGCCTCTGGCTGCTTTCTTTCTTTCTCACCATCCAGTCCTATCTTTCCACTTTCTGCTCCACCCATTTTTTCTTGTCAAAGAACTGTCAAAAAGAAATTAGTAGCTCAGATGCCAGGTATGAAATCAAAAGCAGAAGAAAAGCTTGTCTTTCATCCAACAAAGAAAATACTCCCTTCCCTCCAACAGGTACGAGTAAAGATAAATGTTCCCTTCTTTGTACTCCCCTAGAAAGCAAACAAGATATTTTTACAAGGTGCCCAAGGTTGGTGGATGCCTTCAAGTAACGTCACTGAAGCCATTCCCTGTTACTGGCAGCAGGACAGGGCTTGCTGGGATACAATCCGGAAACTGGAACTCCTTCCATTCAGCAGCTTGCATCAGAGAACAAGTGAGTTTGGATCCATCAGCGTGCAAACACTGGTATGTAAGTATGTGTGTTCAGCAAGAGTACTGAACACACACAGGTATACTAGTTATTCACGAAATAAGCTATGAAGCTGTCAGCTAGGATTTGTAGTTTGACGGCGATAACGCCATCGAGCTACGAGTCCTCATTTTGTTTGCATACTCACTTTCACGTTCTCCTGCATTTTGAGATATTGAAATCTCAACTGGTTACTGTCAAATGTGTGAAGAACTCTGCACATTCCAAAACTTTTTAAAAATAGCAAATGAGGTTCTTGGCTATTCCTAAACGGTACCTGATCCCTTTGCTTAGAGAAGGCTGCTGACCATGCAAATTGGCTTGTTTTGCTCTAATGCTATTTTCATTGGGCACAAGTTTGGGTAGGCGGTAAATTGATGGATGGAAACACAGGTGTGTGAATGTTTGTAGCATTTAAGAGCCAAGTCCCGAAGGTTTCAATGGTAGCAGATGTCATGGGAGGAACAGACATAAAACTTCTCAAATTGAGACAGAAGTCATTAGGAGTAGTATATCTGATTCCTATATCCACAGAGTCTACATCCATGGATTTAGCCATTCAAGTTTTAAAAATATTGTTTAAAAATCCCAAAAGCAAACACTGATTTTGCCATGTTATACATAGAGCAGTGTTTTGCTCTGACATTAGTAAGGAAAAGGCTTTCCCCTGACATTAAGTCCAGCCGTGTCTGACTCTGGGGGTTGGTGCTCATTTCCATTTCTAAGCCGAAGAGCTGGCGTTGTCCGTAGACACCTCCAAGGTCATTTGGCCGGCACAACTGCATGGAGTGCAGTTACCTTCCCGCTGGAGCGGTACCTATTGATCTACTTACATTTGCATGCTTTCAAACTGCTAAGTTGGCAGAAGCTGGGGCTGACAGCGGAAGCTCACGCCGCTCCCCGGATTCAAACCTGTGACCTTTTGGTCAACAAGCTCAGCAGCTCAGCAGTTTAACCCACTGCGCCACCGGGGGCTCCCTTCTGACATTATATATATTCATATATATATATATATATATATATATATATATATATATATATATAAAGGCATAATAGTAGTAATAATAATAATAACAATAATAATAACAACTTTATTTTTATACCTCACCTGAATCTCCCCGAAGGGACTCGGGGTGGCTTACATGGGGATCAAGCCTGAACGGCATGGTTATAATGCAAATCAACACTATGACAAAATAAAACAGCAACATTAAACAATGTATAAAAAGGCATTGAAACCAACAATCAGCAAACAATTCAATTTATCATCACAGGTGGAAAGGCTAGTGGTAGGCTAAGGGCTGATAAGGGCGGAATATATATAGTGTAATAACAACAACAACAATAATAGAAAATACTGGAAGGGTTTGGTGGGCATTGACCTTGAGTTTTGGAGTTATAGTTCACCTACTCCCAGAGAGCACTGTGGACTCAAACAATGATGGATCTGGACCAAACTTGGCACAAGCACTCAATATGCCCAAATGCGAACACTGGTGGAGTTTGGGGAAAATAGATCTTGACATTTGGAAGTTGTAGTTGCTGGGATTTATAGTTCACCTACAATCAAAGACCATTATGAACCCCACCAACGATAGTATTGGGCCAAACCTCCCACACAGACCCTCCCCATTAAAATACCCGCGGCCCTCCCAGGGGTCCCCATCCCCAGGTTGAAAAACATTGCTGTAGATTTTAAATTGAGTTTTTTTAAAGTTGTGATAAAAATGGGATACTACAACTGCTACTAGCAATAGTAGCCATAATCTCCCCCTGTAAGAAGATAATGATTCCCTAATAAATAAATAGCAGAATCTGACCCATCTTTGCTCTCTTTCTGCTTCTAGGGCCTTGAGAAATAAGGCAACTTTCAAGCAATGAGGCCCTTCTGTTTTTTTATATTTTTTGTAATGCTCCTGGCGTCATCAGGTATAGTACATTCAAATGTTGCTATGTTTTCTACTCTGAAATGTTTTGTCTTTGATATTTTCATCTTTCTTCCTTTAATGGATTGTGCTACAATAGCTGAATAATATCTGGAAGAATATTATTCGAAACAACAGTGTAGTAATGTTGGTGCTGTGGACCATATTTTTGTTCTTGCAGATCACTGGTGGTCCACGAACCACAGGTTGGGAACCACTGATCTATATGATAGAGTTAATGCAATTTGACAGCACGTTAACTGTCATATCCCAATGCTATGGAATACAAGGAGTTGTGGATTTACAGTGTATTTATCCTTTTTTTTTTTTTGCCAAAGAATATATCACCAAACTATGAATCCCAATATTACTGTGGTTATAAAAAGGAAAGTGGAGAAAGGGTGGGGTGATGGTAGCAAAACAGTGCCTCTACTGACATGTTTTGGAAAAAGTTTTCATACATCACAGTCTTGTTCATCAGATTACTTGAAAGCCATGGCCAAACTATATTTGTCTCAAAGATACTACTAGATACTTCCTTACCTTTGCTTTTTTCCCTTATGCTGAAATAGTCTAACAAGACCCTGATATTTTTAATTTTCCTTTCCCCCTGTGTAGGGTTTGCTACCAATATTCACAGGGCTAAGGACTGTAAGGTGGCCAATGGCATATGCAGGCTCTCAACGTGCATGCATTATCCTTGGGAACGCATTGGAAAATGTGGAGACAAAAGGGTTTGCTGCATAAGGTAAAACTGAAAGCCCTGAAAGTAACAGAAGGGCACTGAGATATCTTGGAGTTGGGGCCTATGGCTAAATACAAGATTCATTTATGTTTCATATACACCATTATGTAAGGACATTTTAAATACAACATCTTAAAAGTTTTGTGCATGTACACTGAGGCATCAGAAAGCAAAGATGTCACTCTCATATACTCATGTGGTTAATTTTGGATTTGGGAGTATTTCAGATTTTGGAATTCTGGATAAGCAATCCTCAAACTTTATGTTGATTCTTCCTTTTAGTAACCCTCCATTCTATGCTTTTGTAGACAGATATTTGTTATAGTATAGGGTAGATGATCTACATGGGTCATCTACCCTGAAGAGAGGGAGAATTTGTTTTGTGGCTTTGCATGACCATCTTGACCTTAATGTGGAACAAAACCACTTAACACAATTTTGCTGCACATTGGGAAAATATGGGGCATGTTCCAAATTTCCCTGAAGCTTTAGAGAAGCCCTGTTTATCTACACTGCCACCTAACCTCATATTGAACCAGAGGTCAAACCTGGGTGCCCAGATGATGTCCAGGCACATCCAGAGCTTTGCTTGAATCCTGTGTTGCAGATACAATGTATTTTAAGCAAAACTTTGGAGCAAACCCATAATTTGGAGTTGGAAAAAGAAGTGGCTCCAAAGCAAAATCCATCTGCTATCCACAGGGGTCAATGCTACCATTCCCTTTCCACTGTGCCATTTCCAGCTACCTTTGCTGATGTCAATAAAGGTGGCTACATCACCAGAGAGAAAGAGCAGGGATTGATGTTATAAGTTGAGGCAGAGTGTCTAATCAAGATGCAGATCAAGAATGGGGCTCCACAGTCACCTATGGACTCACCAGAATACTGATCCTGGAAGACTATCCTACTCAGCCAACGAGGGATTGCCTAAGTAAGTAAGTAAGTAAGTAAGTAAGTAAGTAAGTAAGTAAGTAAGTTGGAGTATTTCAGCCCAAGATATTAGTGGATGTGTATAGGAGTCCAAAGTTTTTGGAGCACTTATCTGCTTCATCGTCTGCCTCTGTTCAATGTGAAAACTCTCATCTATTCCTATAAACTCTTTTCTTCTTGCAGAAAAACCAGAGAGTAGCCATATCACGAGGCTCCTGAAGGACAGATCTGGATTAATCATGCTTTCAACACTGCTCTAATGTGATTAAGTAACAAGCTTGCACACTGCTTTTGAAGAAAGAAAGAAGTGACCAACGGGAGACTAAGTAAAAAATTATCTTGCTTCTGTTTTGAATAAATTATTTCATTTGCTTGCCTTGGATGGAATAGTAAGATGAATAAAGAATAATCAGCTCTGGCATCTCTCTGTGGTAGTAGTCATGCTTATGGGTTTTTGCCACAAAGGAAGTAGTTCATCTAAAAGAGGTCTTTCAGTCACTGTAAGAAAAAAAAAATTACAATAGCAAAACAACAGAGAGGAAACAATCAGGGACAGCTAATCACCTCTCAAAAAAAAAAAAAATCCCCCAGGCACTAACAAGCCACACCATAAAACTGCCAGGCCATCAAATGCTAATCAAGGTGGTCAATTGAAATATCCACACCTAGCTCCAACAGACAAGAGTCCTTTGTCCCACCCTGGTCGTTCCACAGATATATAAACCCAGTTTTCCTAGTTCCAACAGACCTCACTACCTCTGAGGATGCTTGCCATAGATGCAGACGAAACATCAGGAGAGAATATGGCCATATAGCCCGAAAAAACCTACAACAACCCAGTGATTCTGGCCATGAAACCCTTTGACAAAAAACCCTTAATTACCATTATCATGGGCAAAAGAAGATTCAAAGTCCTTCAGGGATATATGTATTGCATTCCAAAGAAAACCAAATGACATGTTTAACTCTTTTAAAAAAGGTTTGTGACCTTTTCCACATTGGAGCTGTCCAAAATCTCTACTCATTTCTTAATCCATAAAATTCAGTGAAGTAAACAAAATTGCATTTGAACATTCTGGGAACCAAATAATATAAAGAATGTCTTATAATACATTTGGAACTGTATCCATTGCTCCCTTTGTTTCCCTTGAAGGGTTTTTAATGCATCAGAAGATTCCATCAATGGAAGATGTTCTGTCACCGCTGGAGCTGAAATTAAATGCTTCTAAGAGAGGATGCAAGGCTTGTATCCAGCGGGAGGTCCGGGCTCCCGGGAAAGAACCTTTAGAGGAATTTTCCCTATTAAACAGGCTTTAGGAGACTTAAGCTTAAATACAACAGTCTTTATTAATGAACAAGCAGGAATTGTAAGATTTCTAAATAGTCTATTGCTCTTGCAGTCTTGTTTACAGGAAACAGGCACTATCTTCAAGAAACTTTGTTTAACAGAAAAATTCCCCTTTAAAGCTCATCCCAGGCTGCTGTGAACTTAAACCTGACTGGTTTGAGTCTGCTACCAGCTGAACTGCGTCTTAGCCAAACAGACGTACCACCAGGCTTGAAATCACTTAGCTGAAGATGAAGAGCTGTTATTCCCTCCGGAGGACCTCGGGGCTGTGAACCCTTTGGGAATCTGTAGAGGCCTTTGATCTGTTCTCCCCCAGGAAGTCTTAAAAGATGAAGCCTTTGCACAGGAGGAACGTCTGTATGCATCCTCTGCCTTGGTTTCCCTTGCTGTGACTAACTGAAAAATGGCCCCTTCCCTCCAAAAGCAAAAAGGGGGCGGGAACAGGGATCCTAACTATAATTGGCAGGTGGCTTACCCTATAAATGCAAATTATAACAGGAACCCCCCTGCTGTAAAATCCCAAGCATGGGATTGCATACAAACATTTAAACACAGCAAATAAATCTGGAGCTCCTGGAACAGCTGTTCCAGAACAGAAGAAGAATAAGATGATAATTTGGATTTATATGGTAGTGTAGAATTGGCCTCACTCTTCCAAAATCAGGAATGCACCAGTGGGTTACAGAAAAGTGTATGAAAAAGAGAGAATCAGCAATAATTAATTGTTAATTGGAGAGCACAGTAAGAAATAATGGAGCACAGGAGCAAATAAAGCTGCCTTATACTCAAGCAATCCAATATTTCCAATTCTGATCAGCAACAATAATAATTCGAAAAGAATTATTTCCTACCCCTATCTGGAGGTAGAAGTAAACCAGCAACCAAATACTACTTTACCCTTGTCTGGAAAACTGCCTAATGTAAGCCTGTATCTCTGCCTACGACGAGGTGAGACAGCAAAAAGAAGTCTTGACAACTCTAGAAAATATTTTGTGATGTTTGAAAGGTGGTGGAGCAGAAAACCTGCCCTTTTGAAATCAGAAGCTGGGCAGGATTATACATAAATGTCCATGGCATATAAAACAGCTTATTTTTACCTAAAGGATTCCAACGCATGAAAAGTAAACAAGCAAAGATTCCAAAGTTTATTTTGGTTTGATTTTGTAACTTCTGCCCTTCCCAAACCCTTTCAGGCATGTTACCAATAGGAAAGGTAATATTTCAAAACTGATAGAGTCTTCCATTTCTGAGCTTCAAGAGGAGTTTTCTCAGATCAAACAAAAGCCCTTGTTTCATAAAGTAAGTAACTCCTTTGGGCTGTATGCATAGGACTCTGAAATGGTGAATTAACAGGAAAAGCTCCCAAGTCACCCAACTCAGGACTACTTTCTCCTAAATGGCCTACTTCTCCCAATTGGCAGCAAGGCACCCTATCTGGGTTGAGGCCAACCAACAACCAACAAGCAGCAACCAAACAACCAACCAATCACCTTGTTCAGGCCCGTAGCCAGGATTTTGATTCGGGTGGGGGGGGGGGGCTGAGTCTGAGTGAAAGAGGGTCTACCCTAGCAAACCTTTTGTATCATTACCCCAATACCCCCATGCATATGAGATATATTGAGCATGGTGATCAGATCATGATATGAATAAACATAACAGTTTAAATAATGTACCGGGTGGCGCAGTGGGTTAAAGCACTGAGCTGCTGAGCTTGTTGACCAAAAGGTCGCAGGTTCGATTCCAGGGAGCAGCGTGAGCTTCTGCTGTCAGCCCTGGCTTCTGCCAACCTAGCAGTTCGAAACATGCAAATGTGAGTAGATCAATAGGTACCGCTCTGGCGGGAAGGCAACGGCGCTCCATGCGGTCATGCTGGCCACATGTCCTTGGAGGTGTCTATGGACAATGCTGGCTCTTCGGCTTAGAAATGGAGATGAGCACCACACCCCAGAGTCATACATGACTGGACTTAATGTCAGGGGACAACCTTTACCTTTAAGGCCTTTTCGCAGACCACCATGAGATTTTTTTTGGGGGGGGGAAGCCCCCAAAGCCCCCCCCCCCCCCGGCTACATGCCTGACCTTGTTAGGTAAATGAGAAAACCTCCTTTGCAGAACTCCCTCGCCCTTGGTGCAGACTTAGTGCTGCAACACTGTGTGTGCCACAATGCTGTGGGCAACATGTGGGAGTCTGGAACACAGTAGCAGGATGTTTCATGAGAGTTGAGACACTGGTAGAATATACATGGCCCCATGTCATGGGCATTTCAGTGTTGAGAGGTAGTAGTTTAGTAGAGATGCTAGAGTACAGAGTTCACTTTGTAACACTACTGGTGTTATCGCAATTGAAGAACTCCCCCCAATTGGTGGAATAGAAAGTCTGGAATTCTTCTTAAAATTGTAAAAATTGAGTGAGGGAGTGGATGAGGTAGTTGGTCGAGCTACCAATGGGAGCAGCTTTTCTAGCAGCATGACACTGACATGTACCACATAGCTTTGGGGCAGCTTGTAAAAATTGTTTTGTAGAACATTGAGTAGCTAAAAGACCTGTCCTGGCAGCGTGACACTAACTTGCTTGTAAAAATGGCTAGTTTTGTGAAAATTGAAAAGTTTAAATGTTGGGGTCCCACTCTGCAAACCCAAGGAGGGGGAGGCTGGCTTTCTGGAAGGCCAGCTGTTCCACAGAGGCAAGGTTCAACACACTCCGGTGCACGGTGATGACATCTTCAGCCAGGCTTAACACCCTTTCATTCTGCATGTTGGTAGGTGGACAGCTGACGTATTTCTGAGCAATTGTCATGAGATCTGGCCACACCTGGCTCAAGGTCAACCAATAGGCCAACAGATCACAGACAAGACCTTCTACTGGCTTCTCCAAGTAGTGACTTAAAAATCCTCTGCTGAGTCTGCCTTGCATGGGTGGAAGACAAGCATTGCAATGGCCTTTTCGAAGAAACTGGTCCTTTCTTCCTGCTGCTGCTGCCGCCACCACCACCTAAAAGCCGTGGGGACAGATGGCATCTCCCAGCTGTCAGCTCTGCCGCTTGTGCTCAGGGTGACTGGCATTGCTATTGTGCTACCACCAAGTGTTCCAGGAACTACTTCACTTACTTCTCTGCCTCTGAGACAGTACGTATACCTTACCAGTGAAAAAAAGCTTGTCCTTCCAGTTTATGGCCTCATTGAAGCAGGCAGTGTCCTTTATGCATGGATTTCAGATAGCTGCAAACTATGTGCATCTCACTGTTTAACAAAGGGTCCAGGCAAAAGTCAACTTTCTCAGCACCTTCTGAATCTGGGATATCCATGGAGTGTCAGTGCCCCAAGGCTTCAAGCGTACGCCTGCTCCCTAGCCTATCTAAGCATTTCTTCAAACCTAACACAAGAGGAACCACCTGACTGAGTAGGGCTCTGGATGTGAGAATGGATACGAGCTGGGAGATGTTGTCCCAGTACTGTTGAACAACATGTTAAGAGTCTGAGACTCTTGGTAGAGTTGTGGATATGGGGTTCTACTTTACAATAAAAACATAAAGCATGTCTTGAGAAGCAATGTTTGACAGTAATAGGAGTCCTCAATGGGTGTTGAACTTCCCTTCATTTGAGACTTTCAAACAGTGGTTGTATAGTTTTTTCTCAGGAACACTTAGCTGTGTACTTCCTCATGGCAGGGGATTGGTCTGGAAGGTTCTTGTTGTTCCTTTCAATTATACAATCAGGATTCTGTTTTCCATAATACCAGGGACACTACTAAAAAAAATCCAAAAGAAAGTTCATAATACAATAACTCTTCCTCTTCATCGGAGATGAAGTACTTTGGCCACATAATGAGAAGGCAGGAAAGCTTAGAGAAGACAATAATGCTGGGGAAAATGGAAGGAAAAAGGAAGAGGAACCAACCAAGGGCAAGATGGATGAATAGTATCCTTGAAGTGAATGGCTGGACTCTGAAGTTGCTGGGGCTGGCCATGGCTGACAGGGAGCTCTGGTGCAAGCTGGTGCATGAGGCCATGAAGAGTCAGAAGCGACTGAATGAATAAACAACAAGCAATAACTCTAGAGGAAGTTAA